CAAATTTGAGAAAGCCCCGCCCCTTTGAGCGCTCTATAGCTCAGGTAAACTTCACAGTAAAAACATCATCAGAGTTTAAACGGGTCACAGGAAATTGTAGTTTACATGACTGAACTGGGGTCTTGTTCATGCGTGTGAAAAAGCTGGAGTGGGAGGTTGATAGGTGGACTGGTGCTGCATCTGCAGGGATATACCAGTCAGTATACGTTCCTACCCTCACCTATGGTCTCGAGCTTTGGGTGGTGACAGAAAGAACGAGATTGCTGATACAAGCGGCCTCCACAGGGTGTCTGAGCTCTACCTTAGAGATGGGGTGATGAGGTAAGAAAAAGAAAAAATAGCCGGCTGCTACCAATTCAACTTTAGGACAAACTACCAGACTCCCAAAAAGAAAAACACCATTTGAAGTCACGGACAACAAAAGATGTTTAGGCGTAGAATACAATGACTGGTGTTTAGCACATTCTCGTTTACTGGTAATAGGAGAACGTGGCGAAAGGATGAAGGCCGATGGGGATTCTGTGACCATGTTTGTGTTTAAAAGATAGCTTGTTTTGCTCAAAAACAGTGCTTCCAAACCCTAGTCCTCAGGGCCCACTGACCTGCATGTTTACCATGTCTCTGCTTCAGCACACCTGGTTTACATTGCCTCATCAGGAGGACATCAAGTGCTGCAAATGCCTGTTAATCACTCATTCATTTAGGTCAGGTGCAAGGCAGCAGGGAAACACTGGAGTCTAAAAGGGCAACATGGAAAACATGGAGGACCAGAGTTGGGAAACACTGGTCTAAAACACTGTTGATTAGGGGTTGTATCAGCTAGGCGGCTTCACTGCTCTGTAGTGACTTTTTATACCTTTCACACAGTAGACTAGTCGCTGTCACGTGATAATGACCGACAAGATGCAGTCCTCGGAAAAGACAGCAGGTGACGAGCCCCTGCGCGTTGGGAGGAGACATGCTGTGCCAGAGCGTCGGTATCTGACGCCCGCCGTACAACGGACATTTGACAGAATTGTGGCCTTTACCCTCTTGCAATTTAACCTTCCCCTCACCCCTATCCTAACCGTAGGACCTGAGCACGGTCACAGTAACATTATCAAATTAGGTGTTGCCACCTCAAAAACAAATTTAACACACGATCATTCATGTCGGCTCATTTCCTTTTATGTTTTCTGTCTTTTATTTGTGCCTGATGCTTTTCGCTGCTGCGGAGCGGGGCGCATCACCTTGTCCTCCGGTGACGCACCTCACCGGTGCGGCCGGCGCGCACCCCGCTGTTTTAGCAGTCGGTAGATCTTTTAGAACTGCAGTTCAAAGGTTACTCATAAGGTGAATATATATGAAGCCAGGTAGCCGTTTCTCTTTAGGATTGAGAGGAGATGCAGGAAGATAATAAACAGACAGGACAGAAAAATAGTCAAATGAAAACAAGTTTGGTTTTGTACCTGCTGGTTGCAACAAACAGACACCATTGAAGGTAATCAGAAGTGAGGAACAGAAAATGAAATAATTATTTTAATGTTTAGAGCAGCAGGAACTCTGAGGCTGCAGGCGCATCAGTGAGTTTGTGGCCGCTGCGCAGGGGGAGGGAGGGTAGGGCTGAAGCAAGATGCAGAAACTACCGTTGTTAAGAGATGTGTTCAACTTAGAAAATGTGGGCTCAATTTTAACTGTCAAAAACTCCAGATGATGTGTATGACATCATCAACAACTAGTCGAAATCGACTCGATTTTCATTAGTTGATGGTCGACTTTAAAAAAAATTAAGTCATGCAACCCCTACTGTAGACACATACAATTTGGTGTTTATACATCAGCCTTTTGCTGCTTAGATTTCTAATTTTCACACAGAAGCTGTTTGTTAGCATGCTGACCTTAATGACCCACTGACAAGAGCTTTAACATTTACTGCTCATCAAAGTATTATTGAGATTCTTGGAAGAGAGTTGGTGCACGGAGGCCAGAAGCTGCATTGGCAGCCTCCAAAGCTTCTAGTTATAGAACTAGAACCTGTTCATACAGAAACCGTAAAGCTAAGCTGTGTCAGTGTTAAGGCTTTATCCTGACTTGAGTTCAGACAGTCTGGAAGCAAAAGACCTGTCACCCAAAATATACAGCTAGCAATTTTGTACATTTCTGTAAACGTCTATCAGACCGCTCTACAGTCCCTGACTGTGACTGTTATTGGTGTTGTATAATTTGATCTTTAAACTTTTCCCCCCGCCCTCTGCCAGATTTGGAGTTTTCTCAGCCACTCTTGGGTCATGCTACGGGAAGTGTTGAAATAGCGCTGTGAGCAGAGATGTCGTTACACACTCTTTGCTGCTGTTCTCATTATAAAAGACCAATTGAAACAGCAGCAGCTTTGCTCCCTCTGTAAAGCTGTGAAAGTAATTATGTGTATGGTTTCTGTGTGTGTGTGTGTGTTGCAGGAAAGAATTACACTGCATGGATCTGAGAAAAGAACAGTAAAAACAGTGTTTCACTAAAGTACACCACATCTTCAGAAATGCTTTTCAATAAAAGGACGGAGATGTTTTCCAACATAAGCAGGAGCGATACCGTTCTAGTCAAACAGCACCGTCTACTGTCAGACACATACCTATCAGCTTATCCCAGATCAACCCAAGGTTAAATGGAAGGTTCAGCGTAAGGTGATATGGTCCGCCAGGCTGCTCCAAGTTCTGTTTAATGTCAGTCATATCACGCTGAGTTAGCCTGAAAATCCAGCTGCTATCAGTGTCTGAGAGTGCGACCACACTGGAAGATGAAGTCAGGCTTTCCTGTTACTGCTCCACATACCATATATTAGGGGTTTTACATAAACAACCATTATCTCCCCACCCAGATGAGTTTTCCTCCATATGGAAACATGAATGGGCCTAAAAGGATAAAACTCAACACAGCTCTCTTTCATTTCGTGCCTCCTGCTGTTGTTTAAATAAACTAAAAGAAAATGAAGAACTGTTTTATTATTTAACTTGTCTCTACTAATAAAGGGGCCGGATTCACTCATAATCAGCATTATTGGACTGCATGTAAAAAGACCTTTTGTCCATAGAGTCCCTCAATTATGAGCATTTTTTGCTGCGATGCAGGTCTCTACTGCCTCTATAAACACTAGAAACATGAAAAAACCAGTTTTCTGTTTCATTAAAGTCTCTGAGACGTAACAAATAAGGACTGTTGGGTATTTTTATAAATGTACCTTTTTGAGACCTAAAAGATGCCCATTACACATCATGAATCTCTGTGTTGGCTCTTCATAAAAAGGTTGAGCAAGGATGTTAATTGAGAAAACTCTGTACCTCTGTAACTTGAGAAGGTCCGCCTTCTCCCCCCACCCTTTGCTTGAATAAAACCACTGAAGACTCTGAGGACGGGGGGAGTCGCCTGGCAGCTAGCTCTGGAGAGAGTTATGTGTCATTTCGGTGATCTTCCCCTCATTTGGCTAATTCAGTGTAAAATGTCTTCCTTGTTGTCATGTGTGTTTATTTCAGGTTCCAGGGTTATGGAGGTTAAATATTATCTACCAGATAATTGAAGAATGCAGGTATACAGAGCAGGTGAGGAGAAAGCTTTGAGGCTGGAGCAGAGTGGGGGCTGGTTGAGCCACACACATGGACATGGGGCCTGGTTGAGCCACACACATGGACATTACAAATAATCAATTTACTCTCTCTCTCTCTTTGGGTGTGTCGTCCTTTAAGGTAATATGGGATAAAATCAAATTACCTATCAAGGACCACCACCATCACTCCTCTCCAGGATGAAGGGTCTAACAGGTAAACTCTGAACTCCTCCCAGATATCAGAGCTTCTCAGCTTATAGCAGCTTGAGCTAAGGGTAGGTGGGCATTGCTAGCTCCAGTTTGTTTTCCTTAAAGGGGTCCTTAATTGATAAAAAAACATTTTTAAATTTTATTTTTGATTATAATCGGTCACAAGTATGACATCACAACATCACACCTGTACTGAAGTCTCTTCATTGGTTACCAATCCCCTATAGAATTAAATACAAACTAGGTCTCCTTACCTATCAGTGAATCCATGGAAATGTTCCTTCGTCTTCGTCTTCGTCTTCCTCCGCTTATCCGGGTCCGGGTCACGGGGGCAGCATCCCAATTAGGGAGCTCCAGGCCGTCCTCTCCCCGGCCTTGTCCACCAGCTCCTCCGGCAGGACCCCAAGGCGTTCCCGGACCAGATTGGAGATTTAACCTCTCCAACTTGTCCTGGGTCGACCCGGGGGCCTTCTGCTGGCAGGACATGCCCGAAACACCTCCCCGGGGAGGCGTCCAGGAGGCATCCTGACCAGATGCCCAAACCACCTCAACTGGCTCCTTTCGATCCGGAGGAGCAGCGGTTCTACTCCGAGTCCCTCCCGAATGTCCGAGCTCCTCACCCTATCTCTAAGGCTGAGCCTGGCCACCCTACGGGGGAAACTCATTTCGGCCGCTTGTATCCGCGATCTCCTTCTTTCGGTCATTACCCAAAGCTTATGACCATAGGTGAGGATTGGAACGTAGATCGACCGGTAAATCGAGAGCCTGGCTTTCTGGCTCAGCTCCCTCTTCCCCACGACCGATCGGCTCAGCGTCCGCATCACTGCAGACGCTGAACCAATCCGCCTGTCGATCTCCCGATCCCTCCTACCCTCACTCGTGAACAAGACCCCAAGATACTTAAACTCCTCCACTTGAGGTAGGACCTCTCCCCCGACCCGGAGGTGGCAAGCCACCCTTTTCCGGTCGAGAACCATGGTCTCAGATTTGGAGGTGCTGATCCTCATCCCAGCCGCTTCACATTCGGCCGCGAACCTACCCAGCAAGAGCTGAAGGTCAGAGCTGGATAAAGCTAGGAGGACCACATCATCCGCAAAAAGCAGAGACGAGATTCTCCTGCCACCAAACTCCACACACTCCACACCACGGCTGCGTCTAGAAATTCTGTCCATAAAAGTGATGAACAGAACCGGTGTTAAAGGGCAGCCCTGGCGGAGTCCAACCCTCACTGGGAACAGGTCCGACTTACTACCGGCTATGCGGACCAAACTCACGCTCCTCTGGTAAAGGGACTGAATGGCCCTTAACAGAAAGCCACCCACCCCATACTCCTGGAGCGTCCCCCACAGGGTGCCCCTTGGGACACGGTCATAAGCCTTCTCCAAATCCACAAAGCACATGTGGATTGGTTGGGCAAACTCCCATGCCCCCTCCATCACCCTTGCAAAGGTATAGAGCTGGTCCACAGTTCCACGGCCAGGACGAAAACCACATTGCTCCTCCTCTATCTGAGATTCAACTATCGATCGGACCCTCCTCTCCAGTACCTTGCCGTAGACCTTTCCAGGGAGGCTGAGGAGTGTGATCCCCCTATAGTTGGAACACACCCTCAGGTCACCCTTCTTAAAGATGGGGACCACCACCCCGGTCTGCCACTCCCTAGGAACTGCCCCTGATGACATGAAATGTTCCTATTTATCTTAAAGAGCTCTTACTATCCACATCACCTCAAGAAATCTTCGCTCTAGAAATTCTCAATTCCTGCAACAGCCCAGAACAAAACTTCATTCCATGGGAGACTGTGCCTTTCAAGCTGCAGCCCCACGCCTGTGGAACACACTCCCTGAAACACTGAGAGCACCTCAAAGTGTTGAAAGTTTTTTAAAAAAACATCTGAAGACATTTTTATTTACTCAAGCTTTTCCAAACTGATTGACATTGCTGTTGTTTTACCATGTGTTAACTTAGCATTGTATGGTTTTATGTACTTTTTCTTTGTTTTTATTTATTGGTTTTTTAATTATTCCTTACATTGTTTCTGATTTCCTACTGTAGCACTTTGAGATTTCATTGAAATATAAAGTGTGTTACAAAGAAAATCAATTATTATTATTATATTATTATTTAGAGTTTTTCATGCAGGCTGAAACAGTCTCCTACACCTATCTCCTGCATTAACTTTTGATAGTGAAACTCTAGGATTAGAAAATCCTGACAGATCTACGTCACACTGTCACTTACTCACGACAGGGAAGGCAGTTGTTGGTTTAGCGTCCAGGAAACAGCAGAGAACGTCTCAACTAGTAGAAGCTAGCAGGTAGCATTAGCAACTGCACCGTACAACAGGACTCCTCCAGGCTTGTGTTATTTGTGGAGATAAAACATCAACATTGCAGAGCAAACAATCAGTGGTAGAGTTGTGTTGCTGTTAGCCAATCAGAGGAAAGATGTCCAATCATCAGGAAGTAAGACGTCTGAAGCTACTTTCTCCTCCAGCTGAGTTGTACAACCTGCTGCACTGGAGCTTTTTTTCCCCTCTGAGCACAACTTACTAGGCATTCATTCCTACTAGAAACCAGTGCAAATGTATTGATTAATCAAATGATCCACACCACTCAAACCTGAAACAGCCCTCTGGTAGACACATGAACTATTTACATGTTCTGTTATGTGTATTATGTAATTATATAACAATGCAACAATTAAAAAAATAGAAACGTATAATTGTCATGCTCCATGTGCAGTAGGCATGTATTGGATTGTGCACCGCTGGTTTTTAAGGACAGGACCAATCTTAAAGAATTAGAAGTGTATGTGGAACTAGTAGCATGCAGTGTTTCAAACAGACGCTTTAGGTTTAAAAGTGTCCAAGAACTGAAAGACAGTGACCAAATGTGTGAATTTGTTCCATTATGTCCACACTTACTCTATTTTTTAGCTTCATACACCCACACCCAGGGTTTCAAATGGAGCTCTGAATATCAGGGTTGAGCACAAACGTTTAACTTTAATTTGAGGTTGTCCCTCAGCCATGGTTGGAGTCAGCTGGACTGAATTCAGGGAGTGATTTGGCAGTTTGAGAGTATTCATCTGTGTGACTCTCAGAGTCATTAGTTTTCTTCGGTTCGAAACGCAGTAATGAAGTGAAGAACCTCAAACACCCTTAAAGTCAGACAGTCAGCACTTACAGCTCACAGCCTTCCTGCTAGGCTCAAACATAACACACAGCTCTTTCTTTCTTCACAATGTGTGGCTTTTAAATCAGATGGCAGGTATCTGGGAGACACTCACCACTTATACAGGTTGGTTTTCAGACGTTGGATCAACAAATGTTTTTTGTTAAGTTACTGTAACGCATACGACCGTTTGTGCACTTACAAGTACCACGACACAATGATAATGCTGGCACACTTAGAACATTTGAGTTAAAAAATTTAAAACCTTTATTTGTCATTGAGGAAACGCTTGTCCTGCTGTGGCTTACAAAAGAAGACAATTATTCACAGGAGTAAAAGAAAAATGTGATTTTTAAAGGTGCAGTATGTAAGAATGACAGAAGATGGACCTCCTGTGGTCAAACGTGGGTACTGCAGTCTACACTGCTTAACCAAATACAAGGTTGCCACCAAAAAAAAGGTCACACACTCCAGTATTTCATCAGACCGCCTTTAGCTTTGATTACAACACACATTTGCTGTGGTGTGTTTCGATAACCCTCTGCAACGTCACCAGATTTATTTTCATCCTGTGTTGCATTCATGTTTCACCAAGGTCTTGCATTGATGATGGTAGAGTCTGACCGCTGCACAAAGGCTTCTCCAGCACATCCCAAAGATGCTCAATGGGGTTAAGGTCTGGACTCTGTGGTGGCCAATCCATGTGTGAAAATTATGTCTTATGCTCCCTTTCACTATTTGAGCCTGATGAATCCTGGAATTGTCATCTTGGAATATGCTCGTGCCAACAGAGAAGATGGAATATGTCATGCTGTGGGTAAGAGCTTTCACCCAGGACATGAAGAATCACGACAGAGTAAGAAAAATATAAATGTTTTATTTCTTAAAACAGAAATAAGGGAACAAAACTAGAACTAAAGGCGCTGCGTCTGAAACACAGGAACGGGACGGGACCGGAATCTATAAAAGATAAGAGGAGAGGTGAGCGAGACCGGAACCAGAGAACCAGGAGAATCTGACTGAGTGACTGAGAGTTCTTACGGTCAGAGACCAGAAGTTGTGCGGAGGCGGACTGGGAGAGGCTGGAGTGGTGAGGATGGTGCTGTGCGTGGACAGGCAGGCGGGCGAGGAGATCGGAGACCTGAGGATCCTTGAGCGGTGAGACGGGAAACAACTCCAGACCAGGTAGGTGGTTCAGAACAGGAAACTGGAACAGGACAAACAAACTCATTAGCTCAGAACGCAGGACCAGGACAGTTTAGGAGGCTAGAGGCTACCCATATGAGAGTATCGACCGGCGCTGGAGTTGAGTCCCATCGCTCCTTAAATCCTGGTGGCTCCGATTAGTGGAAACTCCATGCAGCTGTGATGAGTGCCACGCCCACCTGTAAACACAGCGCTGACCAAAACTCACAGCAGATGGAGGCAGACCGTGACAGTGCCCCCCCCCCCCCCAAGGGACGCCACCCGGCGGCCCAGCAGAGGCGGAGGAGGAGGAACCACGGGAGGCCTCGAAATCCCTGATCAGGGAGACGTCCTCAATCCACAAACCAGGAATCCACTGTCGATGTTCGGGGCCGTACCCCTCCCAATCCACCAGGTACTGCCGGCCGCGACCCCGTGGTTGAACATCCAGGATCCGGTGCACCCGGTAGCAGAGACCCCGTCGGCGAGACGAACGGGTGGAGGAGGAGCGACAGGAGGACACAAGGGACTGGAAGCCACCGGCTTGAGGAGAGAAACGTGGAAAACAGGGTGCACCTTCATGGAAGGAGGCAGGTCCAACCGGACAGAGACAGGACCCAGGACTTCAGCCACAGGAAAAGGCCCCAGGAAGCGAGGAGAGAACTTCCTGTTGCAATCGCGAAGCTTGATGTCCCGGGAGGAGAGCCAGACCATCTGACCCTGAGTGTAGGCAGGTGCCGGACGTCGGTGACGATCTGCAATCCGGCGGTTGCGATCAGCAGATCGTTGAAGCGCCACCCGTGTCAGGGTCCAAGTGCGACGGGCCCGGCGCAGAAACTGGGGAACCGATGTGGAGGAAGCAGAGTCGGAGGGAAACAGAGGGGGTTGATATCCTAATGACACTTCAAACGGGGACTGACCTGTGGATGATGATGTGTGGGCATTATGTGCATATTCCACCCATGCAAGCTGTGAGCTCCATCCGGCAGGATTGGACGCGCAGATACAACGAAGCATGGCCTCTAGTTCCTGATTCATGCATTCCACTTGGCCGTTTGTTTGCGGGTGGAAGCCGGACGTGAGGCAAACCTTAGCCCCCAGGTGAGCGGCGAAGTCGGACCACACACGGGAGACGAACTGGGGGCCACGGTCTGATAGGATCTCGCTGGGAAGTCCATGAAGGCGGAAAAGATGCTTAATGAGGAGGTTGGCTGTCTCAGTGGATGATGGAAGTGATTTAAGTGGAACCAGATGACATGCTTTAGAAAAACGGTCGACAATGGTGAGAATGACAGAGAACCCTTTAGACATGGGGAGACTAGTTACAAAGTCCAGAGCTATGTGAGACCATGGGCGATGAGGAATAGGCAAAGGCTGGAGGAGACCTTGAGGAGGCTGATTACTGGCCTTGAATTTGGCACATACCTGACAGGCTGCGATGTACTCCTTCACATCTCGGTACAGGGAAGGCCACCAGAATGTCCTCCTGATTAAACTGATGGTTCTCCCGAGGCCTGGATGAATAGAGAACCTAGCGGTGTGGGCCCAATGTATAAGGGCACCACGGGTGTTAGTGGGAACATAGATCTTATTAGGCGGACCGGTACCTGGATCGGGTTCCTGCTGCTGGGCCTCCAGGACTTTGTTGGTAATGTCCCAGGATATGGAACCAACGATACAGGAGGCAGGGAAGATGGTGGTGGGTTCCGTCTCCCTGTCGGAGGCAAACTGTCGGGAGAGTGTGTCAGGTTTGACATTCTTAGAACCGGGTCTGTAAGAGATGATGAAGTTAAATCTGGAGAAAAACAAAGACCATCGTAATTGGCGGGGATTCAGTCTCTTGGCCTCCTTCAGGTAAGCCAGGTTTTTGTGATCTGTCCAGATGGTTATTGGATGCTCTGCTCCCTCCAACCAGTGGCGCCATTCCTCCAAAGCATTCTTAACCGCTAACAGTTCACGATCTCCAACATCGTAATTTTGCTCGGCTGGGGAAAGGCGGCAGGAATAGAAGGCGCAGGGATGAAGGCGCTGATCAGTGGATGAGACTTGGGACAAGACTGCCCCAACACCAGTATCCGAGGCGTCCACTTCCAGCGTGAATGGACGGGAAGGATCCGGACGAGTGAGTATGGGTGCTTGGGCAAAGCTTTCCTTGAGTGAGAGGAAAGCTTGGTCCGCCTCTGTAGTCCAGGAAAACGGTATCTTGGTGGAGGTGAGTTGGGTTAAAGGTGCTGCTATCTGGCTGTAACCCTTAATGAACCGGCGGTAGAAATTACCAAAACCCAGGAACCTCTGAAGTTGCTTGCATGTGGTAGGTGTGGGCCAAGTCTGGACGGCAGTAATTTTATCAGGGTCAGTCCTCAGCTTTCCGTTCTCTAACACAAAACCGAGAAACTTGACGGAAGCAACATGAAACTCACACTTCTCACCCTTAACATAAAGACGGTTTTCGAGGAGGCGTTGGAGCACAGCACGGACATGTTGGTGATGTTCAGACAGGTTTCTAGAGAATATGAGGATGTCATCTAGATAGACCGTTACAAACTTGTTAATGAAGTCTCCCAGCACAGAGTCAACCAAGGACTGAAAAACAGCCGGGGCATTGGTAAGCCCAAACGGCATCACCAGATATTCAAAGTGTCCTAGCGGCGTTTTAAAAGCCGTCTTCCACTCATCGCCCTCTCGGATTCTGACTAGGTGATACGCATTACGCGGATCTAGTTTTGTGAATATGGAGGCATCATTTATGGGTTCGAAGGTGGATGATAGCAACGGTAGCGGGTACTTGTTCTTTATAGTGATAAGATTCAAACCACGGTAGTCAATGCAGGGACGGAGTGAGCCATCCTTCTTAGAAACAAAGAAAAACCCAGCACCCAGGGGAGAAGTGGATGGATGTATGATGCCGGAAGCTAGGGATTCTGAAATGTAGTTAGACATGCTGACCTGTTCGGGTTTGGACAGAGAATAGAGCTTACTGGTAGGAAGAACAGCGTCCGGGACTAGATCGATTGCACAGTCATACGGGCGATGAGGAGGTAGGGAAGATGCTCGGTCCTTGCTGAAGACCTGTTGCAGGCTGTGATATTCTGCCGGAACTCCAGTGAGGTCAGGTGGTTCCAGAGGAGGGTTCTTAGTAATCTGAGCGGGAAGAGGAGCAGAACGCAGACAGTGGGAGAGACAGTGGGAACTCCAAACAGACACCGACCCAGTCTTTCAGTCGATCTGAGGATTGTGTAGGGACAACCACTCATGACCCAGCACCACTGGCGACTGCGGAGAGGGAAAAATGTAAAAGCTCAGAGTCTCATGGTGGTTACCGGAAATCTGCAGGTTTATGGGAACAGTGCGATGAGTTATAGTCGTGAGGGAACACCCATCCAGTGAAGAAGCGTGGATGGGGGTAGACAGAGGAACAGTGGGGATGTTGAGCTGCTGTACTACAGCCTGGTCCAAAACACTCCTCTCACACCCTGAGTCCACAAGTGCCTGGGTGGAAAAAGTCTGTTGGTGAAAGGAGATTGTACACGTTAGGCCACACCAGGAATTAAGAGTTCCATGAATTCCACCCATCAGTAATCCCGGTCCTACTGATGGGCTCTGGATTTTGGTCGAACCGGACAGCTTGGCAGCAAGTGACCCGACTGGCCAGAGTACAGGCAGAGACCTAAGGAACGGCGCCTAGCCTTCTCCTCCGGGGTTAACTGTGCTCGCCCAATCTGCATAGAGTCCTCATGATGCACTGGTGAAGAGGGTTGCGGGTGAAAGCGCTGCGGTGAACCCATAACAATGGGTGGTCTGAAAGTCTGTGTCTTGTGTCTCTCTTTGAGGCGTTTTTCAATATTAGCAGCGAGCTGGATCAGGGACTCAAGGTTCTCCGGTTCTTGACAAAAGGCTAATTGGTCTTTGATCTTATCGTTAAGCGCTTGAGAAAAGGCGGCTCTAAGCGATGGTTCATCTAACGTGGAAATGGATGCGAGTGTGCGAAAACCAATGGCAAAATCTAAAACTGACTGCTTTCCCTGCTGGAGGCTCCATACCTGCTTTGCTATTTCAGCTGGCGATTCGGTCTGGTCAAAAATCTGTTTGAATTCCGCTAGGAATGTTGGAAGCGGTCCTAGTAAGAAACTAGCTTGCCGACTCCTGGCCTCAGCCCATTGCAAAGCCTTGCCTCGTAACAAACCGATGATGTAAGATATCTTTACTGTATTATTAACAAAAGTGTCAGGCGATCTGTCAAAAGCCAACTGGCATAGTAATAAGAAACAGCGGCATTTACCTGGTTCACCAGAGAAAGTTTCTGGTTGAGGTGACTCAGCGACCCGGAAACTGACCCCGTGTTGCTCCCCCGGAAGTGAAGCTGGGAACAGTTACGGAAGCAGAGGCAGGAGGTGGAAGCCTCTCGCTAACTTGTCGTAGGGCGGTGTCGAGCTGAAATAAGCGCTGATTTATGGCTGATAACTGATCAAGGGTTGAACGGATGGAACCTTCATGCTGGGCTAGAGTGCTTGTTAAAGTGGCGGGAAGTGATTCTTCCATGTAGGTGTTCGTATGGCCGGTCGATTCTGTCATGCTGTGGGTAAGAGCTTTCACCCAGGACATGAAGAATCACGACAGAGTAAGAAAAATATAAATGTTTTATTTCTTAAAACAAAAATAAGGGAACAAAACTAGAACTAAAGGCGCTGCATCTGAAACACAGGAAAGGGATGGGACCGGAATCTATAAAAGATAAGAGGAGAGGTGAGCGAGACCGGAACCAGAGAACCAGGAGAATCTGACTGAGTGACTGAGAGTTCTTACGGTCAGAGACCAGAAGTTGTGCGGAGGCGGACTGGGAGAGGCTGGAGTGGTGAGGATGGTGCTGAGCGTGGACAGGCAGGCGGGCGAGGAGATCGGAGACCTGAGGATCCTTGAGCGGTGAGACGGGAAACAACTCCAGACCAGGTAGGTGATTCAGAACAGGAAACTGGAACAGGACAAACAAACTCATTAGCTCAGAACGCAGGACCAGGACAGTTTAGGAGGCTAGAGGCTACCCATATGAGAGTATCGACCGGTGCTGGAGTTGAGTCCCATCGCTCCTTAAATCCTGGTGGCTCCGATTAGTGGAAACTCCATGCAGCTGTGATGAGTGCCACGCCCACCTGTAAACACAGCGCTGACCAAACCTCACAGCAGATGGAGGCAGACCGTGACAGAATAACCTGGTCATTCAGTATATTCAGGAAGTCAACTGATTTCATT